ATTATGGTACTTCTAAAGTTACCCAGTACACCCATAGGCTATACACACACGAAAGCTAATTATTTCAATTAATGCTGTTGCATTACCTAAACATTTAAACATGTTAATGATATATGTATCCTCTTAACACTGGGAAGGAATTACAGAAGATTTTCTACTACAATTACTGTAATGGGACTTGCTGTTGAGCTCCTGCTCAGGGGTCATGGAGTAGAAATGGTTCTTGATTGCTCATGTTCCATGGATACAAGAGGGAAACCACCTTATTTCTGTTATAGCGCATATGGTTCTCCTGCCCCCTCAACCTTGGTGTGTCTGTTGCAGTCCCACTCTGGGCCTTCCTAATATTCTCCAGGAGATTTTGTTTTTTACTCTCTCACCAAATTTTACTTCCCCCACCTTCTTCACTTCTATGGTAAAATGATACTCTCCATCCTGGGCATTTTCCATTTAAAGGAAATGGAGGGGGAAGGGTAAGGAAAAGCTGTTAGGGGAAGTGGCATGTTGGGTTTCCACACTGAAGAACGATAGGAAACAGAGTACCAGAGGAAGTGAGCTGGAATAGCAGGTGGTAGCACGATTCCTGGATGTAGGAAATGTGAGAACTTGAGTTACTGCTGAAGGCCAGGACCAAGTCATGTCACAGGCAGACAAAGCTTCACAAAAGAGAGGGCAAGGCATTTCCCAGAGTGCTGTAAATGTCATGAGCAGGACACCAAAATCACCATGGACACGACATGCACGGAATCCAAGAGTGCTCAGGAATATGGAGCTAAAAAGTCCAAAGAGGGCAGAAATGGCCTGGAAGGAAAGGGGGTGACAGAAACAGGTCACGGTCTGAGAGCATAAGATTCCAAGGTTTGGAAAGCAGCAAGGAAGACAAAAGGACACATACCAAACCCCAGGAGTAAAGGGAGAGATTTGGGAAAGAAGACAGCCAACTCACAAAGTGGTCAGGGAGATTGATGGTGCTAGGGAGAGCCATATTTCTCTGAGGAAGAAGAAGGTTGAGGATCCAGGGTTTCATTAACAGGTTAACACTCAGTGTCAAATGGCACAAGCAGAAAGCTTCAGGTGCCAGGGGAAAGTGGAACATCAGATCAGAAACGTGATGTACCGAGACACAGGGGCAACAGTCCTGAAGGCAAGAATTCTGCCTCTATGTTCTGGGCTCTTGATACTGACCACCTGTGATACAAGGGCAGCGAGAAAAACATGCCCATCAGCCCTGAGTCTCAAGGCGGAAAGGAGGGGAGATGTGTGCTGAGGGACAGAGAGGGTGGGAGTCTTTCCAGATCACAGAAGTTCTACAGACATCTCTTCACCCCCTCCATGCTGATGGGGACACAAGGCAGGGGCTATCTTAGCCAAAGGGGTACAACTGTAGAGCCAAAGAAGTGAGGCTTTGTGTTACCTTCCTGCTCACGAACACACAGAACTACTCCCCCACATCTTTTTCTTAAGTGTTGATGCACTAGAATAAGTCTTTATATGTTCTTATCCCTTTTCTTCCTTCTTCAGTCAACTGGTCTATGATCTTGAGACTTGGAGTCTTAATTCATCTGCACTACATTTGACCCTTAAAAGATATGCAGTAAACAAAAAGGAGGAGGCAGTAGAGAGTGGTAAGAGGATGGCATCTTTAGTATACTGATAAACACCGCAATAGTGCAAGACTTTGCTTTACTGACACACTTTATGGAAATGACAATATTAACAGGAACAAAGCCTCTTAAACAAAGCTTTGAACCTATAGCACCCTCCATGTTATGAAAATCTATTCTTGCTTTTTTCTCTATACATCAATATATTAAGAACAATATATTAAGAACACTGGAGAAGACATAGTTAAGACATAGTTAAGCATTCCATCTTAAAACTATACTGATATTTTTTAAATGAGGCATGAAAATTCAACTCCAATAACACAGTAACTGCTACTCAAGCCTTACTACCTTAAAAAAAAAATAGTAGCAGGATTCCTACTACTCCCTTGATATTGTTTAAATGTCATAATTTTTTCAAGGAACTGTAAAACTGAACTGAAGGAACCACACAGATGTCCCAGAGATTCCTATGATGTGCATCACGCGTCCCATCCCTCTCAGTATGCCATTGACAAACACCATCCTGAATTCTATGATACATCAGCACTCATACTTTGTATTTTAAAGTCTTTTTACTTTCATTATTCTACAATTATCTTCAATGGCAATAAAAAATAGAGACTTCTATTTTAGAATTTAAAATATAAAGTAACTTACAACAAAATATATTTGAAATGATACTAGGTCAAATAAAATACACAAGGATGGTTTATCCTACCAACCTATCTCTGTACTTTCTTTAAAAATAGCAAATTATGAAAATCTGTTCTTGCTTTTTTCTCTACACATATTGATCAATATATTCTACAGAATCTTGCAGTTGTTTTTTGTTTTTTTTTTTTTGGTGTGTGTGTGTGTGTGTGTGTGGTGCTGGGAATCTCGAACCCAGGGCCTTGTGCATGTGAGACAAGTGCTCTACCAGTTGACCTATATCCCCAGCCCCAGAATCTTGGAATTCTTTTTTTTTTCTTTTTAATTTTTTTGTAGTTGTAGATGGACAGAAGCCTTTATTTTGTTTATTTTTATGTGGTGCCAAGGATCAAACCCAGTGCCTCATATATGCTAGGCAAACGCGCTGCCTCTGAGTTACAGCCCCAGCCTTGGAAGATTATGAATCTTGCAATTCTTAATCCCTGTTAGTCAAAACATCAATTTTGCCACAGAATCATTTATGTATAATAATCAGTAACCATTTAGCCTATTATCTCCCACCTGAAATAGTCCACAGTGGCTAACCAGCAGTAAAAAGCAAAATCATAACCTCTTCAGCACATCATCAAAGAGCTTTGTCAAAAAGGTCTTTAAAGATGCCCCACTAGGCTAGCCAGAGCACTCAGTGTCCTGACCTCTGTTACCCTCTCTACCCCAGACCATCCCCTCTGCCTTCTCCATGCTACTGGGATCTCGCTCTTACTTTGATGTGGCTGCATTTTGTATTATGGTTAGCTTTCTAGCCAGTGTTTTCCTTTTAATTTCTTTGGATGTAGTGAACCACTTTTGAGTTGAGGCGTCAAAGGATTGAGGGATTCTGAAGGAACCCTTCCCTACCACGCAATAGGAAAGTGAGAATAGGCTTCATTTTTTATTTTTTGTCTTGATAAGACTTAATTCAAATTCTTTCATTCATGGAATACTATGTTTTACCCTTTCTTATCTAAGAGAGAAATAACACACACCACAGGCTGAAACATGTCTGTATACTGCAGGAGGTAGTCTGACATCTTGCTAGAAAGCTAACCATAATATAAAATGAAGCCACATCAAAATAAGTGACTCAGGCTTGTTTACTACATAATAGCATGATCATCTAAAGAAGACAAATTTATTTCAATATTCACTTTAATAAAATTTTATAAACTTTTATAAAGCTGATGCTGTTGACTTAAGTTTGTAATTCTGAAATTAAGTAAGTTTAAATTTTAAAATAACTTTAATACAGTTAGAAAAATAAAAGACACATGGAGTTCTAGTCTTTGACACAATTTATCTGTACCAAATAAATAACTTAAGTTGATGAATTAATTTTCCTATTTGTAGTTAAGAAAATATGTGTGTGTGTGTGTGTACACACTCTAAGGTTTTAATTTAGTAATAGAAACTGGGCAGTCTGAATGAAGATTCAAGTAAAGAAAGCTGATGAAATTATTTCAAAGGACAAGTTATTGGAAATACATAAAAATGAATTAAAAAAATCTTCGCATTTTAACAAGAACCACAGAAAAGCCCCAATTTATATCTAGAGAGTCTTGTGTGGGATGCTTAATTGTTTTCTAAAAAGAGCACATTTTAAGAGGAAAACATAAATAATCCTAACATAATGCTAGTAATAAATAAAACAAAACATATAATCCAAACTGAATCATCAAGGAGTCTTCAAACCGAGCTTATCACATACATTTTCCAGGACTGAGAAACTGTTGAACACTGACAGAGACAGTTCAACTTTCCAACAAGATTTATTTTATTTTTTGATTCACTAATCTCTCTACCATATTTAGATATATTTCTCATATATATATATAGATAGATAGATAGATAGATAGTTGTTGATAGACCTTTATTTATTTATATGTGGTGCTGAGAATCAAACCCAGTGCCTCACACAGGCCAGGCAAGTGCTCCACCACTGAGCCACAGCCATAGCCCCTAGATATATTTCTTATTTCTCAATATTTCATTGTAAAAATAACTTTCCGTTCTATACCTACTCTTAAATTATGATTCTGAAACATAATTAGATATTAATCTGATCTTGGTGGAGAAAGGGTGGTTTTTCAACTTTTTAAAAAAATGCTACATAAGAGGAAAGTACAGGGTGAAAAATCACTCAGGTAAAATTAAAAGAAATTTACCTAAACTATGTCATTTCTCTGTTAAACTATCATTACACTTTTCTTTACTGGAAACCAAAAACAATACATAATTTGAAATGAAATTTTAGAATCTTTAATGTGCCTACTTAGTTACCAACTGATAGCCAACAGTATTCCTCAAGACAACAGAGTTCATAAGTAAAACTTTTGAGAGTCACGTTTGGCACCTTTGTGTCCAAGAAATATGCTACTCTTTATCTTAAAGATCTCAGCAGAATGGAAATGAAGTAGGGACATTACAGTCACTAATGCTGCATACAGACCAAACCACCTCTGCACTTGCAAATCACCTGAAGAGCTGGTGGTAGAAGGCTGCTGGCCCCCCAGTGGCCACTTTCTCTAGAGGCCAGCTGTGCTCATCACAACGTATCTACATCCAGCTCTTGGCAGATCCCCTTCACCTGGAAGTCCCTTTGTTACTCTTAAGCCTATAAGAGGTTTGTATTTCTTTCTTTTAATTATCTGTTATTTTTTAATTAAACAGTTGTTACACTGGTCTAAATATGTAATATACATGTACCATTTAGCCGTCTCTGGAGTGCTTCTTCTTCTAGGGTAATTATATAAATTTGCTCATCCAGGTCTTCAAGAATCTAAATTTAAAGACAAAACTATTCAATTATATAACATTACAAAGTTCTTGTTTATTGACTATTTAAGCTACTTGGTCTATTATTTCAGATAATATATTCACTCAAATAACTAAGAACCCAAAATAAAATATCCAAACTATTTTATTTATAAATTAGGCATGTTTTATAGATGTTGTATTTATTTTCTACAATTTAGTGTATAAATAAACACATCAAAACTTTATTCTCACAAAATCTACATTCATATAAATTGGATATTGTTAAAGTTTAAACTAAAAACATCTGCAGTTTTCTCAATGGCAAACAAATTTATGAATTTTAAAGAATCAAAAAGCTAAATATAGCAAATATGTCTTCATGCCAAAGCTGTTATTTTAGAGCCGGAAGGAATGATCATCTAGTCCAACATTTGTCCTCCCATTTATATTTACTGACAGAATTTCTAGTTCAAGGAGTCTATAAACTACATCAGTAACATGCAGAACCTTCCATTTATGTCATGTCTATACACTAAAAACACTCCATGAATATTGAACACTGATGATATCAAAATCAGCTGACTTAGTATTGGGAATAATATTAGCAAATTATATTTTTATATTGTGTACATAGCAAGTATGAATATGTAACAAATCCCACCATTATGTACAACTATAATACACCAAAAAAATGTAGAAAAAATATAAAAATAAAGTCAATATTTTTTATCATCTCATTTGGACATGATCATTGCCAATATGTGCATATATAGAAATATACTGATCCTGTTAATCTATACAATGTTAATAATTATAATCTTTTAAAAATATAAGTTGAGACCAAAACAAACAAATCATCCAACAGACAGAACCCTAGAGAAATGGGTGTTTTTACATATAAGCCACTCACTATGAAGCCATACAATAGTAAGAAAAGAACCTCACTCATCAATTACCGATTGTATGGAATATTACCTGCACTGTCTTAAAAACTGATAAAACCTAATGCTTCCAGTTCTGCCTTTGCTAACATAACCATCCTTCTATGAAAGGGGAAAACATAAAGAAACCCAGAGCTGGTATCAATGTTCTCTATCATTCAAACTCAAAACTACTTACTCAATCATGAGGGGTTGGTGAACAAAGTGCAATAGTGGAAACTGTGTGCCCTTTCAGCTGCCTAATATGATATTCCTAAATCACTCAATCCCTATCACATCTGGAATTTTAATAGTTTATGTTATATTTATGTAAAGCAATCCAAAAATCCCCAGTCTTTCAATAAGTACTTATGGTCCTAGAACTAAGCTAATCAGTGGGTGGACATACCATTTCTTCCCCCAGGAAGCCTAAACCTGAAGGGGGCAACAAATAAATAATTAGGATGAATTAATGATGAATAAATAAGTAATGATAATGAATGACTGTCCTATGAGGGATAAGGAATGGGAAGAAGGGGAGGAGTCTTCTCCAGATAACCAACAGTGAGGCCTATCCAGGGAGACAATACTTAACCTGAGACAAGTGGCACATGCCAGAAGGTGTGATGGTCCTAAGGGAGCAACAGAGTGGCCCTCTGACAGAACCAGTTGGATAACAAATCAGAGGTGCCTACACAAGTGGACAGGGGTAAACCTGTATGGATCATGATCGGAAGGCTCTCTCCTATCAAAGCATTTCATCACTTTCTACTGTTTCGATTAGAACTGACCACTTCTGCTTGTTTTACTTGCAAATTACTGAATGTTACCTACCATCACAGGTGCTGAATGAGTGACAGCATTAGCAGGACAGAGGTTCATATGTCAAGTGCCCATGAGCATCATACCCTTGATTTCTACAATACCATAAAAACACTCCCACCATCACCATTTTATACTCCAAAAAAACAATAGCTTCCCAAGAAATGCTCTCTGCCTTCAAAGCCTTTGCTCTACTATGAACTAATGAGGGCTTAAATATGGGTCAGACATAGTCTTTGACCTCAAATGGTAGAAGAGGTCAAATGAATTCAAAAAGTAATTATAGGATTAAAATCAATGTCAAAAGCGAGACTTAAATAAAATGTTCTGAAAGGTTGGAGAAAGAAAGATTACTGCCAGTTAGGGAGAAGAAAGTCTTGGCCAGTGTGGCTGATGGCTGGAGCACATCACCCAGTGACCTGAACTGACAAGAGGAAGATAGGCCTTTCAACAAAGGAAACCATACAAGAAACACAGAGGAGGAGAGGTCCACTCTGCAGGAAAGCAGCAATGTTACTCTGGAGCTCAAGGAAGAACAGAACAGTGCTCCAAAATGGACTCTGAAGCCAGCCTCTGGGTTCAAACCTACTCCATCACAGTTCTGTGACCTAGGACATGCCATCTCCCTGAACTGAAGTTGGTTCAGCCATAAAATAACACCACCTAACTCATGGGTTTCTCATTTATAATACCACCTAACTCATGGTTTAATCATCAGGAGGCAATGAAATTTTGTGTCCGATACAGTGCTTATCACTACAGGTTGTATAACCAACCACTGTTATTATGTGTTAGGAGTAAGAAAGAGGCAAATATAAATATGGCTTTGAGGAGGTCATTGATAAGAGATAGGTTTGGGAGAAAAATTAGCCTGAGGAGGGGAGACAAATAAGGAGTTTGGTTCTACATGCTGAGCTTGCAGCTCCATGAGGTACTGGATAGCATTTGAGGTGCTAAAGGCTATTTCCAATGTCTTCTCATTAGAATCAGACATTTAGAGGTGAGGTCAGAGTGGCAGGGGTGGTCCAGAGCACCCAGAAGAGCATTAGCAGAACTTCAGAACACCAGAGGACCTTAGGCCTCTTTCCATAGGAAGCAGGGAGAAACTATAGGAATGCAGTGTCACAAAGCCTCTCTAAGATTTGATAGCATGTGTGCTGTGGGTGTGCATACATTTATGGAGCAAATATAAAGTTAGACTTTATTTTTAAAAGAAGATATGATGAGATTATAATTTTCAAAATTAAATAAGCATTTACTAAATGATTATCTACTACAACATTTCCTCAGGGTTTTCCTTTAATGAATCACCGTGATAGGGGTGACAAACCCATAACTAAAATAACATAGTATTAGTCAGTTAAAAAGGTGAACGTGAGAAGTGCAGAGGAAGGAGTTTGATTCTCAGCCTAGAGCAGAAAAACGAGGTCCAGAACCAGGCAGAGCCTGCGGCTGATGCTGGAGTAGGTAAGAGGGACAAAGGCATGACTGGAGGGGAGCGGCACAGAGCCATGCGGGAGCTAGAGAAAGACTGCAGAGGGGTAGGAGAGGTCAATCAGAATGGGCTAGGAAAACCTGACAGCATGAAGGAGTTAGAGTTGAATCTGTCAGCAATGATGATCCAGTGAAAATAACTTAAGTGGCAAATTCCTAATTACAGCCAAGAAACTATTTTCTCATTATTAAATATCTGACAAAATAGTTAAAGATAAAAGAAACTTAAGAATAGGTCATCAGAATTACTATCAATTCAAAATCATTTTTAAGGGCCTTAAGGCCCTTATTTATTGTCTTTTGAGTCACATATTTTATTTTCTTCCAATTTTTTATTGGTTCTTTTTAATTATAAATAGCATTAGGGTTCATTTTGACATAATTATAAAAGCATGGAATATAATTTGTTCTAATTCAATCCCCAGTACTTCTCCTTTCCCTCCCCTCCTCCCTCCTCCTGCTCCCTTCTCTGTACTCTACTGATCTTTCTGCTATTGAAAATCATTTTTCAATGAATATAGAGAGCTGGGCAATCCCTGCAACATGGGAGGTTGAGGCAGGAGGAATACAGGTTAGATGCCAGCCTCAGCAACTTGGAGATACACTCTCTCAAAATAAAAAGCTCTGGGGAATGTAGTTCAGTGGTAGAGTGCCTCTGGACTGAATCCGCAGTACCACCAAAAAGAAATAAATAAAAGAATAAGCAAAGTATAATTCAATTATAATATATAATGTGCAAATTTTCAAAAGCATTCTGCTTTATAAATCAAAACATGCAGTTAATTTTCAAACAATAGAATTGTTTGATATAAAGCAATGAATATCTGTAAATATCTGCAAAATTTTCTCTTAAAATTGCCTAGCCAAATTTTTACCAAAGTGCCTATAATTAGTACTTTTAAAGCAAAAACAAATATGGTTTCTAAACATAAAAAAAGATTTTAAAAAATGTAAATTTAAGTGATAAACCTACAAAAATACTCTATTTCTAAAGGCTAATTCACAATCTAAAAGAAGTTCAAATGTAAACATATTTAATTAACAAGCCAAATAATTTTTAATGGAATACTTACTGCTGGCTTCACTAGCAACTGGCCCATTACTGTGAACATGCGGGAAAGGCCAACTGGTGTACACACTGCAGAAATGAGAAGACCACCAACAGAGAGATATATACTTTAGAGCTCAGAAAGATAAAGCACAGAAAAATAAAACAACTCAAATAGCATTGTTTTAAGTAAATTCTCGACTCCAACAGATTCTCCCAGTTCTCTGTCAGAAGGTTCTTGCATTTCACCCATGAAGAGACTAGAGGGGCAGTGTGAGGGGCGGGCAGCGTGACATCTGATGAAAGGTAGTTAAGGCGAGAGAAGGTTCAGGACACTTAAGATTCTAACAGTGGGATGACAATAAGTACTTTTGTTTAAAATAAATTGTATAAAACCAAGCAAAGACCAGATTAAATTTCATGTACTGGTAGAAGTGAGAACCTGAAAAGAATATTTAATAGTGACAACTATAGTCCTAAGTCCTTTGAAATACATTTAACAGCTAATCCCTAAGATAGGATGTGATGCCTCAAGTAAAACAAAACAAGTTTTGAAATAAAAATCACAAAATTCATCACATATTGGCCTACCATTTCCATTTACAAATAGACTCTGGTGCTTTGAATGGGTTGGGGTGGGGTACTGGACATGTGAACAGGAAGCGAGCAAGACAGAGTATAAGAATGTGTGTCGGGGGGTGTCCCTCTCTCTTTTTCCAACCCAGCAGAAAGGCTTTCCTCAGAGAATAAAAAAAGCATATTATTATTTCAAGATTTCAGTTTATCGAATTTATCTTGAATAATTAAAAATTCTCCAAGTTGTTAAGGAATCTCACCAGGAAGCTTTCTCATAATTTCCCAGAATACAAAACAACTACTCTCCTATCAATATCAGGTCAGAAAAATACTTACAGAGAAGTAACAAACATCCCATCAATGATATACAGGAATATAAATAGGGTAGGTAGAACTCCCAGAGGTCTATAAAAAATGTAAATAACTTTAATAAGTTCAACATACTGCACTTTAAGATGTTTTATCTTAATATAGGCTGACTATATTTAAAGTATAATAAACATTGTAATTGCTTATTTGAGTGTACTAAACCATATAATTTCTAAACTGTATGAATAAAAAAAATATAAAATAGAAGGATAGAAAATAACCCTTTTGCAAAACCTGTTTGGAGGAAGGAAAAAAAAAAGAGCCTCTCTAAAATTTTAAGAACAGAAACCAATTAATTAAAAATAAAAGGCTTCTTACTCATCCTGTATATATAAAACAAACGTACATTCATTTCTTAAATACATCTAAAGTCTTCTTAATTCTATAAATCAACATCAAGGGTGAACTATATAAAGAATTATTTAAAATGTTATTAAAGTCATATGTAATTATATCCCAAACTATGGTCTCCATTATAGAAACTGATTAACACAAGCAAATCCGCACCATATAAAGATTCCATGCTTGCAGCATCGTTGTCAATCAGTGCTGAAGCCACCCACACTATCCCAAGAATCAGTAATGCCAGCAGCAGCAGCATGACCAGAGTTTCCAAGATGCGGGCTCGTATCCCCTGAAAATGTGTGAGAGAGATGATTTTAATATTTTATTTCATTTCATAAACAATTAGGCTTCGGTCCATATAAAAGCCTATATAATCCTTTGGGAGGAAAGGAAATACTTTTATTAGATTTATTTATATATTTATGAAATTTACCTTGTTAAATTACATAATGTTTATTACATCTAAATTTATTTAAATTTTTATTTATTAAAAAAATATAAAATGCTTAGTTTATAATGAATAGACTGAGTTTTCAAAATTATAGTAAATACTATCAAGCTTGGAGTAAACTACAAAAAAAATTTATGAAAACACTTTATGGAACCATTTTTGAATAATTACTTTCCTAACACTTTTCACAAAGAAAATAATTTATGAATTTCTGCCTATGATTCTAATCAAGGGGCTCCAAGGCAGTTGTTGCAGCAGAGGGCCAGTCTGGGGAACACAGCTTGGTGGGAGCATGGTGCACCAACTCCCATGGCAAGAACCCACACAGCAGCTCGTGGCCTCCGGAGCCCTCTAGCGTGCAGCTGCAGAACTACTTGCTGCAATCCAACACCACAAACTCCAAGGGTACTATGGCAACTGCACATACTTCCCTTCTCATATTTGATAGAATTTGTGTTAATTCACAAGGCTGGAATATAATAATCATTACGTACATTTTCAAATGTAAAATAAATTCTGACCTAGGGACCAAACCAGAGGCCAGACTTTTAAACTTGAAAACAAGACAAACACAGAAACTTCTTTATACTCCTGCAAAGTCACCAAATAATTGTTTCTGTACCTAAACTTAAAGATGTATATTATTGTTTTATACCTATAACATCTAACACAACAAAATTATAAGTATATATGTGTTTCTCAATAAATCACGTCATCTTTCACTCCATATTATAAGTTAAATAAAGACCTAAAACATACATTCATTTCAATTTTGTCCTAAATATTCTTTTCTATTATCTCAATAGACATAGGATGCACTTAAATCACAGCACCCTAGTTACACAAATTCAATATAGAGAGGAAATGTCTTAAAGCCATGGAGACTTAGTCCAAGGCCTGCGTGAGAACCTGAGGCAAGTGGCTTTCTCTTGCCAACCCCTCAACAGTATCATAGCCTTGCCACAGGGTTGCCCTTGGCAGACTTGAAACACTACATGGGATGTGAACGCCAGCTCACCCGAAGTGCACACATTAAGGAAGGCTGGAGAGCCAGGACCAACCAGGTCTGCGTCTTAATACATGAGCTCTAACACCAAGCAGCTATTGTTCACCTGAGAAGAAACTGAAAAAGTCATAAACTGCTACAGCCAAACATAATGGCCATCCACAGTATTTCTTTACTGGAGAAGCTTTTAAATCTCCACTTCACAACTTCATACACCAAAACACACCATCACCTTTCAATGGTGATTTCACCCTCTTTTCCTCCCACCCTCTCTTCTAATCAACAGTCGATACACATTAAACATTCTGGTGCCTATACACAAAACAGGTAAGGAGAGAGGAGGACTTTGGCAGTGTGTGTCATGCCCTCCCAGCTACCTTTTCTGCCTCAAGCCTATCCCCAGAAAAATGTGAGACAACCAGCAGGGTTCCCAAAACATGTAACTCGTGGGTTTTAAGAGTCAGGATATTTGAGCTAAACAGTTTAATATTGTTGGATTATAATACAGTAGGGCTCCTAGGATCTGTCTGAAACTTAATATTCAAAAAAATTATAAAATTAGGTAGAGAGAAGTGATGGGAGGGGAGGGGAGGAGAGGGGATGGGGGGATAGGAAAGATAGTAGAATAAAACAGACATTATTATTTCTGTGTGTATATAGGTGACTGCATGACCAATATGATTCTGCAACCTGTACACTCAGAAAAATGAGAAATTATATCCCATCTGATTCAAATGTATGATATATCAAAGTCATTGTACCGTCATGTATAACTAATAAAACAAATAAAAAAGTTTTCAAAATTACAATTATGTTAAATAATTATAATAACATAAGTATAAGCATCATGATAATAAATTTTGGGAAGCCAGTCACAATAAGACTTACAAACTTCTCTGGCTGTCAGGTAAGAAATATTTGTTAGCAATTCCACTTGTTTTCTTCAAACACACCCCTCAGTCAGGAGGCACCTCTCCTCAGTCTCTGCCATTTCTCGACACCTGACAGAGGCAGAGACAGTTTTATTCTGGGCTGCCTTCTTAGGATGAGCATAATAGCACTCAGCCTTCTATCTGGACTGTGCCCTCTGAAGCAGAGGACAGACCTGTTTACTGTCCAGGACAATAGAGACGTGACCTCCAATCACAGGTCAGACAGGCTTGCTTGTAGCCCATAATGAATGCTGTGGGCTGCCCAAGCCTGGGTCTCCTCAGCTGTGACCCACGCCCACAGTGGGGCAGGCAGCCTCTACCTAGCTGAACATGTTGCGATGTGGGGCTCAGGGTCAAGAGAAACCTCCTCGGGAAATTTTTGCCCTTACTGTGCTGTGCATGACAAAGCCCTCTGTCTCTGACCCAGAAATCTCACGTCTCCAGCCAACATCCACAAACCTGGCAGGCTGTCAGCTCTCACGCAGGATAAAGTCTCAGAGCCTTCACAGGACTTGTCAGTTTTGGCATTATCGAAAAGAAAGAACAAGCACCCATCCAAGTTGGGTTAAGGAATATGAAAAGACTATCCAGATCTAGCAATGATCCCAAATAGTGGGCAAGCTGACAAAGATGTCCATGCACCTACTGCTGGTGCACATCAGAAGGCTGTGCCATAGAAAGGACGTGGACAAACCCATGAGTGCCATGACTAGCAGGATGGACGTCACCCTGACTGGAACACTAAGGCCAGCAATACCAGCTTAGAGATCTCACAGGCATGATGCTGAATGAAGAAGTCCTACGCTCAGTAAATGGTGCCAAGAATGAGGCCACAGAGCTTTGTGTCACCTGAAGACATTAGGAATTTGGTTTGGCCACAAGCAGTCATAAGGTCACTAGGGATAAAGGTTTCTTGCTTAACGGGGCAGGCCATGGCCTTCTCCAAGCTCCATCGTCCCTCACACCCTACCCCAACTCAAATGCCGCACAAAGAAGGACAGGTGGGCTAAAGTGGCAGTCTCTCCGTCCTGAGGGGAAGGGAAATCACACATACCCACGTGAGTATGAAGGGGACTGCAGGCAGGAGGGCCTCAAACTTCTATGGCTCTGCTGACTGTAGTGGTCCAGGGGACCCTTCTAACTGGGCCTGGGAAATGGCTACACAGAAATGCTGGTAAATGATGAAAAAAAAAAATTTAAATAGAGACAAATATAAATGATTACCTGTTTGGTTACACACTAAAATGCAGTGACAAAAAAAATTTTTTTGAAAGAAGTGATTTAATGATGATAATTCTAGTCATCTTACCAACAACTTGATGTTTAGATAGAAGGAGAAAAAGAATTCAAGAAAACCTCCATTTTAAATAGAAGTCATTTAAATTATGTCCCTTTTTATTCTGGTAATAGAGAAATTGAAATAATGCTATTAAAATTTAAGATTAACACTAATCTTACTAATATCAAAGTCACAGTACTGGGCTGGGGTTGTGGCTCAGCGGAGAACGCTCCTCTAGCACATGCGAGGCCCTGGGTTCAATCCTCAGCACCACATATAAAAAATAAATAAATAAAATAAAGGTACTGTGTTCAACTACTTCTAAGAAATAATAAATATTTTTTTTAAAAAGTTACAGTACTAGGACCTGGTATCAAAAGCAGTATTACTAAGCTTTTATAGAAAAGAACAATCAACATTAGTAAAAAGCAGAAAACAAGTTTAGCAAAATAGTAACAACAAAATATATAAAAAAAAATACTGACACAGAAAACATAAAAACCAAATATACCCACTATAACTATATAGGCAGATTAGGTAAAAAAAAAAAAAAAAAATCAGCTGTATATGCTATAATAAAACCATACTAAAAAAAATCAGTGAAAGCCATGCATGTTGGCACATGCCTGTAATCCCAGTGGCTAAGGAGGCTGAGGCAGGCAGATAGCAAGTCCAAAGCAGCCTCTGCAAAAGCAAAGTTCTAAGTAACACAGTGAGACTCTGCCTCTAAATAAAATACAAAATAGGATTGGGGATGTGGCTCAGGGGCCAAGTGTCCCAGAGTTCAATCCCCAGTACAAAAAAAAAAAAAAAAAAAAAAAAAAAACCTCACAGGGCAAAGAAAATTTGTATTCAGACATTCAAATAAGTTTTATTATTAAGGAAATAAAGTGCTCAAAATTTACAAAACCTGGGCTGGAGTTGTGGCTCAGTGGTAGAGCGCTTGCCTAGCAAGGCCCTGGGTTTGATCCTCAGCACCACATAAAAATGAAAAATAAAGATATTGTGTCCACCTAAAACTTTTTATTAAATATTTATTTTTTAGCTTTTAGGTAAACTAAAAAATAAGTATTAAGAAAGAAAATTTGCAAAACCTAAAAAAAAAAAAACTAAATAAGACACGATAAAGGAAGAAATTAAATGTAGTAATTAACGGGAAAAAAAAAGCAAAATAGTAAGAAAATTAAAAGATGGCTCTTTGAAAAGGATTTAGATAACTATCTGGCTAGAACAATCAAGACAATAAAAGAACAAAACAGCAGGAATGAGAAAAAAATACAAACAAGATACAGAATACATTTTCAAAAGAATACCAAATACAATTCTCTTGTCAATGAATTGAGAAACAGGATGAGATGGGTAGGGGCCAATTCTAGGAAATATATGTTGTTAAAACTGACTCGAGCAGAAGAGAGAGAAAAAACAAAAGAACATTATTCTTTGAAGAAACTAAAAATATTGGCAAAGAACTTTTTTCAGTAAAAGCTGTTAGCATGACTGTTTTACAGATGAGTATATTTGAAACTTCCAAACAACAGAATTTCCATGCTAATTTTATTCCAAAAATAGTATGAAAAGTTTCATAAACATTTTTTTCAGATATTAAAGATAAGCATATATA